AGCGCCTCACGCCCTGCCGCCTCGCTCGCCTCGAGCCGACCCGGCGAGCACGGCCTTCCCAAAACACCCATTCCCCTGCGCCCGCCCCGGGAGCGCAGCCGGCGAGCCGGGAGCCACCGGGCCCTGGGCGCCCGCGCAACACCCGGCCCAGAGGCCTCGCCGGGCGACCGGGCTGCAGCCCCATGGAAGGAAGGGTGGAACAGGGGGAAAACCCCCCGCACTTCCCTGCTGGGCTGCTTTGAGTCTTTCCTTGCAGCTAATCTGGCCGCTCAGGCCATGTTTTCCCATTGGGAACACACCAACACCAATGTTTTGCAAAAGCAGTACCGAGCGCTTCACAAAAAAGCCGGCTTTTCTGAACGAGCTAGTTAACCTGGGGGCTTCCAAAGCCGTTTTGAACAAAAAACAAAGACACACACGCACATTCCCGTCGTAGCTCCCCCACGCGCGCTCCTCCCGCACGTACCCTCCCACGGCCGCCCGGCCTCGCTCCGCTTCTCCGCGCCAGAGGCTCCTCGCTTGCGACGATCCCAAGTTTTAACATGCAGAGTGAGGATGGGGCCGATCGCGGCGCGGGTTTCGGTGCTTCCAAAGCGAGCAGGGTGACCTGCCTCTGCCGCAGGAGCTTTCCAGCTGCTGCTTTAAATGGCTCTATAATGAAAGCAGCAAACGTTTCCCTCTGCCAACCTACTTCTAACCACGGAACAAGACGCTCGCAGGACACAAGGTGGAACCAGTGACACACGACGGCCACGTCCGACTGTCCCGAACTGCTCCACGCATCACAGAGTCATCGCGGCTCCGCGGATGGAGCTGCTGAGGTTTCCCCAAATGCAAATCGGCTCCCTCTGTAAACCCTAAATCGGGGCTTTTTTAACCAGGCGCAGGTCTTGCTCATGTCGAGGAGACTCACGGTTTTGTTTGGGCCGGACGAGGCAGGGGCTGCGTTTGGACACAAACGGCACCTCCTCCTGCAACGCTGCCGGGCCCAAAGCTTCAGAGAAGCTGCCCAGGAGCTCCGCATTACCCTGAACATTCCCGTTTTCCTTTCGTTTCCCTCCACGTTTGCTACTGGCAGCGGAAGCTGCTCTGAGGGGAAAGAGCATCCAGTCAGAGCGAGCATCTAGATTTGGTCCAGCTGCGCCTACAACCCCAGACAGGGTCACACCAAAGTGACGAGTTCATTCTGCTGCTCTGCAGGGCGAAATCCATGTTATTTTTTCCTTTCGAAACTGGTTAGCCGCCTTAACAACACACTCGCCAGAGCCGTTTAGGAATGCACATTTCAAATGCAAAATTCCCAAGGTTTAGACAAAAGGCCCTTTCTACCCCACCACAAAGCTCAGTTCTAAGAAAGTGCTGCTGCTTGTGGCCACCCCCGCCCCGCAGTTTAAGTCAGCGGCACAAGGACTCAAAAATTCCCCCAAAAGGAACCCGGGAAACGCCGGCGCTTGCGGGAAGCGGCCTTGCTTAGGCGCAGGAGAGGCTGGTTACAGGTCTTGAAGCCATGCAAATGCAGAGCCTATCTGATGGTACACACATAACAACAGGAAACAGCATAACAAAAAGGCATAAAACAGTCATATAGGGCTT